GGGGTCCTGATGGGAATTTTGGGGGCCTCAGGGAGTTTTTGGGGGGGTCCCAGGAGGAATTTTGGGGACCCTGATGGGAATTTTGGGGGTCCCTGGGGGGTTTTGAGGTCCTGGAGAGGTTTTTGGGGGGGTCTCAGGGAGTTTTTGAGGTCCCAGGAGGAATTTCAGGGGTCCTAAAGAGAAATTTGGAGGTCCCAGAGGGGTTTTTGGGGTCCCATAGGGAATTTTGGGGGTCCTGGGGGGGGTTTTGGAGTCCTGGGGAGAATTTTGGGGGCCTCAGGGAGTTTTTGGGGGGAATTTTGGGGGTCCCGAGTAGAATTTTGGGGGTTCTGGGGGGTTTTTGCGGGTCCTAGGTGGAATTTCAGGTGTCCTGGGGATAATTTTGGGGGTTCCAGAGGGGTTTTGGGGGTCCCAGGGGGATTTTGGGGTCCCGGGGTTTTTCTGGGGGTCCTGGGGGTGATTTTGGGCGATCCCGCTGGGTTTCTTTGGTGGTCCCGGGGCTGTTTTTGGGGGATCCCGCTGGGTATTTTTGGGGGTCCCGGGAGTGTTTTTGGGGTCCCCCCCTCACCAGTCCCTGGCCGGTTCCACTCCCCGGTTCCCGGTCAGCGCCAGCGCCTTCGCCCTGCGGGACCGGGGGGCTCCCGGTTATGTCTGGGAGGTTTTTTGGCCTTTTCCCCATTTTTTGCCTTTCCCGCATTTTTGGGCTCCTAAACCGTTTCTTTGAGCGATTTTGCACATTTCCAGATCTTTTTCCCACTTTTCGGCTCTTTCGCCGACTTTGGTCGCTCCCCGCCAATTTCCGAGCTCCCCGATCCCATTTTCGCCCTTTCTTCCCCAATTTTTGGGCTCTTTTCCCATTTTTGGTCACTCTCCCCCCATTTCCGCGTTCCCCCATCCCGATTCCGGCCTCTTTTTCCCGCTTTTTGGCCTTGTTTTCCCGTTTTTTACCTTTTTTTCCCCTTTTTCTGGACTCTCGCATGTCATATTTCCCGCGTCCGGTCCCTCCAATGGCGGCCCCGCATGCGCAGGAGCGACCACAGAGACGGTCCATAGAGATGAATGGGAGGTCCTCCAGGACCATAGAGATGAGCCGGAAATGCTTTAAAACCATAGAGACGAACAGGAAGTCCGCCGAAAACCATAGAGACTAACCGGAAATTCTTTTAAAACCATAGAGACGAATCGGAAGTCCGCTGAAAACCATAGAGATGAACCGGAAGTTCCATAATACCATAGAGACGAACCGGAAGTTCGCCAGAAACCATAGAGATGAGCCGGAAATTCTATAAAACCATAGATATGAACTGAAAAGCGTCCAGAAACCATAGAGACGAGCCGGAAGTTCAATTTTTGTGGAGAAATGACGGGAGACAAGCCTATTTTATAATGCTAATAAGTTTCAGTTTATTCCAAGCACGCATGTACAGTTATACCCGTTATAATGAAGCTCATGCATAATGCAAAACTTAGGCTCCTCATTGGTGTCTCTAGAACAGGTCGAGCCCGCCTTTGGGGCTTTCTCTGCTTGCTTTGTTTTCCCTCACACTTATCTCTTTGCTGACCGTTCCGCTGCTGGGAACCAGCTCACCCAAGGATGTAAGGTGCCACCACCGAGCTGCCTTCAGCCCAAAACCGACCCAAAAGTACCCCTAAATCGTCCTAAAAATACCCCCAAAAAACACACCCAAAAATACCCAAGTCCTCCTAAAAACACCCAAAAACCTCACCATAAAATGCCCCAAAACCCACCAAAAAATACCCCAAAGCCCTCTCAAGAATACCCAAAAACAATGCCCAAAACCACCCTGAAACCCCAAATTAACCACTCTGAACCCCAAAATATCCCTGAGCTCCCCATACCCCAAAATTTCCTC